ATGTGTGTCTGTACATAATGGGTAATCATATATATCACAAATTAAACCCTCCACAAACTTATTTCCTAATGAGTTGGTTAACCTTTCCTTCTGAAGGGTAAACATCTTTAACCAACCCCAGTGAGCTGGAGGATCAACGTTTTCTTAATAGTCTTACCTTTGTCGGTGTCAATAGGAAACAGTATTTACTCACTACTGTTTTCCTTTTAAAAATCTGTCTACTTGCATACTAGAAACAGTTTCAGCTGGTTTGTTTGTCTTGGACAAGCTGTTGAAGTGAAAAGTTTTTGCTTGACTGAATGTGGGACAGTTTCATAACCCTTCAAGAAGTGCACCGAAGGTGGGTGCCAGCTCCGATGATGACGGCTGCTTCTAACATGCCTCCACTTGCCGCCCATTGTCAAGGGTGGCCAGCGTAATTAAGTTAAGACAATGAGCAAAGCAACAGATGCAACTGAGACCAAGTGCCTGAGTGCTTTTGTTTTGTCACTGTCATTGTCTGCAACAAAGAAGTCACATGTGACAGCCTGGGAAGAGAGCCAAATGCAAACCAGACGACAACCCAGCTGGTTTGAATGGCCTCCACCGTGCACGTGTGTGCATGGGAACCATGCTACTTGGTACAGCATCTGCTTCACTCAAGCGAGTCTCAGCCCCTGGCTTTGCTGTGATGCTGAGACAGACCCAGAAGAAACAGACCAGGGGATCCCTCTGCTCAGACTTTACACTTTATGCCTTGTGCTTTGAGAGGAAAGAAAAAGAATCTCTCTATTGGATACGAAAAATAAGATGTATGTGGTTGGCCAATCTAACCTCAATTCTTTTTGCTATAGCCCCCCGCTAATTTAAAGAGTAAAGCATAGATGGTGCCTTAATGTTTTCTTGCAGAAATTTGGGATTAATTTGGCTTGAGAGGAAGAATGGAGATTAAATGCTTTATGAGGCTTTCTTTTAATTTGTTCCCATTTCATTCCTGAATATTTTGTAAGTTTGGGCATTGCAGATGCTTAAAGATCTTCTTATTTGGAGCTGGTATGTCTCTTAAACAGAAAAACAAAAGGTAAAATTCAAATTAGTGTGTTTCTCTGCCTGTTAATTAATTTGGTTAGTAGTTAGGCAGAGAGATGGCATCCTTAATAATATCTATTTTGGGGATTTGATGAGCTACAGACCATCAACAGTGTTGATTGAGAATTGAACAAAAACGTTTCAAGGAATTTGGGAACGTTAATGATGCTATTCTGTGGCCCCATGTGTCCTTCTCTCATTTTTCTAGAGAACTCCTATAAGAAAGCAGAACACGGCCAGTCATGGTGGCTCACACCTGTAATCCCAGCACTTCAGGAGGCTGAGGCAGGCAGATCACCTGAGGTCAGGAGTTCAAGACCAGCCTGGCCAACACGGCAAAACCCCGTCTCTACTAAAAATACAAAAAAATAGCTGGGCATGATGGTACTCACCTGTAATCCCAACTACTTGGGAGGCTGAGGCATGAGAATCACTTGAACCGGGAGGCAGAGGTTACAGTGAGCCTAGATCGCATCACTGCACTGCAGCCTGGGTGACAGAGTGAGACTCCAACTCAAAAAAAAAAAAAAGAAAAAAAAAGGAAAGCAGAACCCAATGTAAGATTAAAAACACAAGTTTAGCTCACACCTGTAATCCCAGCACTTTGGGAGGCCAAAACAGGTGGATCACAAGGTCAGGAGTTTGAGACCAACATGGCCAATATGATAAAACCCCATCTCTACTAAAAGGTACAAAAATTAACTGGGCATGGTGGCAGGCACCTGTAATCCCAGCTACTAGGGAGGCTGAGGCAGGAGAATCGCTTGAACCCAGGGGGCAGAGGTTGCAGTGAACTGAGAATGCACCACTGCACTCCAGCCTGGGCAACAGAGCGAGACTCCAACTCAAAACAAAAACAAAAACAAAAACAAAAGAAAAACACAAGTTTACCGGGAGCTTAGCAGTAGATGCTTTGCACCATAACAAATATATCTTAAGTGGTCTTTTGTGATATTTGAGGGAAAGTGCCAGGATTTAAAACAGATGGCATTTCAAGTTATTCTATGCAAATGCCCAGTTTCTTTCTACCAGCTTTTTTTTCCTTTTTGCAGTGGTCACTGAGCTATTTGAATGTTTTTACACAATAATGCCATCTTACTTCTACTCAGTCTGTACAAGATGTTGACCATCAACTCATACAATGCTAACTACCTTTCATGAAGGACTTGGTGATAACTCTAATGTTCCAAGTAGAACTGGAAAACATGTGTAAGAAAAACTGCCAGATCCCTGTGAACCTTGGCCAATAGGCATTATTTCCGAGGGGTGGCAATTGATCTTTTTCCCCAGCCTTCATATTAAAACCTCTCACCTTCTCCAGGTCTCAGGTCTGAGTAATCTCAAATGTGCTTTAGCTCCTCACAATATTGTGACTGTGTGGGTGTTCATCACCTTAGCCAGAAGGAACAGTTTGAAGATTCCAGGTATCATGGAGAGAACTTTTGTTTCTGGTTATGAACCTCATTCTATACCAATAATTATCCATTACATCCTTCTGTAGAGGGCTCTCTGCCTAGAGGTAAAACCAAAAAAAAAGATGTACCTCAGGTTTATGCATGTAAGTGCCAGTTCCTCTTTGATTTTATTTCAAAACTCCTGTCTACATACTTTGCAATTTAAATACATTCAAGGATAAAATAATAACTGTAGGAAAAGTATTATAATATAATGACTTAGTTCTGCACATCACGAGGGGGTCCCTCATACACATTCATTCATTTCACTCATTTTACAGATATTTATTGAGTACCTGCAATAACCTGGACACTGTTCTAGACACTGGGACTATAACAGTGAACAGACAGACACATCTCTGCCCTCACAGGGCTTCTATTCTAAACAAAACTCAATATCCAGGCCGGGTATAGTGGCTCATGCCTGCAATGCCAGCACTTTGGGAGACCAAGGCCGGGTGGATCACCTGAGTCCACTAGTTGAAGACCAGCCTGGGCAATATAGCAAAACCCCATGTCTACAAAAAAAAAAAAAAAAAAAATTATCAAGGCATGGTGGCATGTACCTGTGGTCGCAGCTACTCAGGAGGCTGAGGCAGGAGGATTGTGTAAGCCTGGAAGGCAGAGGTTGCAGTGAGCTGAGATGGCACCACAGCACTCCAGCCTGGGCAACAGAGAGAGACCCTGTTCAAGAAAAAAAACCCTCAATATCCTTAAGATAACATCATTGCTTGTTGATCAGTGAATGGTAACACCAAATTAGGAACCCAGGACTTTTAGTCTTGGCACGGTTACTTTCCAATAAAGGTGACAATACTAAGAAGAGGAAAAATGAGTTAATAATAATAACAGCAGCTAATACTTATGTAGTGCTTACCATGTTCCAGGTCTATTGTGAGTACACATATATATATATATGTGTACTCACAATATAAGTATTAAATTATATATATATATATATAATTTAATCTTAAGAACAGCCCTAGAGTGGGAGTGTAATGTCATTGAGAGTGGAGATTGTGTATATCCTGGTTACCTCTTCATCCCCAGAACCTCTGCAGTATCTGACACTTAATAAGTAATAAATACTTGCTAAATGAATGAATAGACAATCTTGATCGATGAGAGGGATTTGCAAGAGCCTATCAGGAGTTTAAGCCATAGTTCTCATGTCTAGAGCACTAATAAATGTAAAATAAAACATCAGTGCTTGGCACTATTTATATATTAATATGTGTAATATATATATACTATATATCATATATAATGTATAATTTTATTAAACACTTTACTATAGCATAATTTTACTAATTTATTTATATAAATATATATGTTCCTTACTATAATTGGCATTAGAATGACTTTAGAATTTGACCATCTAGCCAGAGAAAACCTGACCAACATCAGAATCCAGTGGGAGGGCTGAGTGTGGTGGCTCACACCTGTAATCCCAGCACTTTGGGAGGCCAAGGCAGGCGGATCACTTGGGGTCAGGGATTTGAGACCAGCCTGGCCAACATGGCGAAACCCCATTTCCACTAAAAATACAAAAAAATTAGCTGGGCGCCTGTAATCCCAGCTACTCAGGAGGCTGAAGCCAGAGAACTGCTGGAACCAG